TGTATCTTACAATTTTAATTCTGATCACATATAAATTATATATTTTGTTCCGGTACATTGAAAATGTCAGCCGTATTTGCAATACGGATTTTAACCTTTCCATAGGTCAAAACCATTTCATAGTTTTAAATGTCTACGAATACATACTCGAAAATTGGCAGCACGTGTTGGCCTTTAAATCCGATAAAGTTTACCATATAGATATTTTTCGAAAGGTCTGCCTTTTATTTAGAAATATCTACGTTAGCAATAGCCTTTGTTGAAATGATTTACATATATATATATATATGTATATGCCTTTAATAAGAAAGCCATGTAATTAACCAATAAATAATATTAAATGATTTTTAAAATCATGACGAAAAGAGAACCTTCGTGGGACTCAATAATAAAACACTGTATATGAAAATAACACAAAATAAAGATATTATATTTATAAGATTATTAGCTGACCCGGCAAACGTTGTTTTACCATGTATATTATTTCTAGGAAAAATTTTTTTTAGTTCAATAAAAATAACTATCTACAATAATAAAAAATAGGGGTTGATCGTAGAGGGGTGAAAATTAGGGGTTGTATGTATTTTTGTATGATGTATGATAAATATAGTAAAACAAACAAAATATATCTAAAAAATAAAAAAAAAAATTTAGGGGCGGTTACCTTATATCATTTTAAGGGGTTTAAAAGATAGATAGTAGCCGATTCTTAGAGTTACTGAATATGCATAAAAAATTAATAAGAATCGTTCAAACCGTTTCGAACGTGAACTAACGTGACACGAGATTTCTTTATATTAGATACACAAAAGATGTAAATGGGCGGTAAATGCTAAAAGTAGGATGAGCTGAAGATCAGAGCAGACATTTGCAGAGCTAAATTAGATTTTTTTGTTATAACACTGCTATATCATCTTGATACTTAATATGAAAAAATAATCTATAATATAATTCGCCAGACTCGTCTCTATTGGAATTGTAATATACACTATAATCTCCATAATGCACCGTGCATTAGTCTAGAAATTCTAGGATAGCTAACTCGACGCCCCTCCCGTCGCGACGGGGTGTTAGTCTCCAGACGACCTTAATTTGTCTTTGAGAATTAATGTCTAAGATCTTATAGGGCTTATAAGTGTGTGGAAAAATTGTTTACAATTTCTCTTCAATAATACTTATAATCTCTATATATATATATATATAAAATTCTCGTGTCATAACTACTATCTATATTTCAAACCCCTATGTGATAAGGGGTGTCCACTCCAAAAAAATTTTTTTTTTTTTATAATGTGGCACTAAAAAATACAAACAACCCTAAATTGTCACTCTTCTGTCACCAACTCCTATTTTTTATTATTGTAGATAGTTACATATTTTAATTTATATACATTTTTAATTATAATTATACTAAAAATTTAACCTTAGTTATTATGGATACATATGGTTATATAAAAAATTAAGTTGAGAATAGATTAGTAGTCTAAATTCCTTTATTGATGGGACCCGCGATTTCATCTGGGTTATATTTAATCATATATAATATATATATGATTAAATATAAGCCGGCAATGCAAAGTCGACCCTTCCGGCAGTGTGAGTGACCATGGGCGGCGGTGTCGCTAAACATGAAGTAAAACTCCTGCACGGTTATCCTTTGATCTATAAAAAAACTATATACATACATATTACGGGGATTTTTTTAAAATTGAAATTCACACGGGATTCCGAGATTAGTGCGTACAGCAAAAATCTTCATTTTCATAATGTGCATATACTATATATATACACACTACTGTTAGTACTTATATTATAACGTTATATAGACAACAATAATTAATTAGGTTTGTGTATAAAATTTCATTCATTTTACCAAATGATACATAGAAATTTATATAATTATGTATTTGCAAAATTCGCGAATATGATTAAGTCAAGGTTCTTGCACGATAGCGATTAAGATCACTTATAAATTATTATAAGTGCTCATTGTTCCGAGAAACAAACGCTAATTGAATACGGTAGGTATCTGATGTGCATTCAAGTACAGATATAGACCATATTAGTACCCAGTTTCTGTATGAGAACGAGAAATATACAGAATCATTAGTGCTATAAAAATCGCAATAAATTCTGATGTAGCTGTTGAACATAAACCACTAATTAATCTACGATCTGATTTCTGACACGAAGGGTCAGTTTAAGAGTGTTAAATTGAAAAAAAGCGACTTCGAAGACTTGAAATTAAAATTGTTATTTTTACCTGAATTTCAAAAATTTTGTTTTAATCAATGTATCATCTCGGTGCTTAGTGCTAGGAAGCCTAAATAGATAATTTTCAAATTTCCAATTTCCACAATATAAGTGAGTTAAAAACAAATCCATGGCGCGTGTCGCCAGAACAGGGAGCAAACGGCCAGGAGGCTCAGCTGATGTTAAGTTATACCGCCGCCCATGGACACTCTAAATGCCTGAGAGATCGCGAGTGCTTTGCCGGCCTTTTAAGAGTTGGCTCTTTTTTTGACCCTAAGTCGAATTGGTTCGGAAATACTTCAGTGGGTAGCTTTTCACATAGTGATGGTGCGCCGCAAAAACTGCCGTAAAAAACGCTCAATTGTGGAACGACGGACGTCGAGGTGATACGGGTGGAATTTCGTATTCAGCCTCGACGTCGGATGATGAAACTCAGCTGCAAGTATTAATACGAACAACCCCTCTGAACACTCTCCGTGGTAAATGCGGTAGAAGATGCAGACTGAGACATTTGTATAATAGTTAAATTTTAAAGAGGATATTTATTGATCTATTTACAGAGGTCACCTTTGCAACATAAAAAAGCTATGTAGAACGTATCTAATTAGTAATAAGTACGACAATCGAAATGATAGACCTTGGGTGCTCACGATATGACCTCAGACTATTAGGCAAACATCACCCTTCTAATACCCTATGGCCTTTTCGAATTAACTTTCGTTAAATGAGTCTCTTGATATTTTTGTTGTCACGTGTTACAGTTACATTATTTTTGTTTTTACGCATGAAGGTACGAGTAAACGCTCAATTAAATACTATTTAACAATGTAAGTTAATTTTTTTTTATATTAGTTTATACAAATAACAGTGAATCGCAAATGTTGCGTAGCGCAAAACTCGATAACATGTATTTTTTTACCACATTTTTTATACCACAAAAAAGGTTTTTATTTCGAAAAAGCGAACAGTCTCCATGGGGTAGCATAGCTAAATGTGCCATATGTATGTAGCTAATGATAAGTAAAAAATCATATTAAGGCGAAACTAAGTACGCGGGGCAGCTACTTACAGGTTGATTATTATGTAAAAATAAGTTGAATTGAAATAGAAATTTAGGTACTATATGTACGCGTGTAGCCAGCTCATACTGTACTTGAAAATTCGTACGTATGGTTTTGTGTAATAAAACTATTATTATTTAACGAACATACGTAAACTCAAGGCTCCGCTCTGAATATTATGATTTTAGCTCGTCTCTGATTATATTTCGCAAACATATAACGCAACGCTATTTGAAATGTTTAACTGCGCTGCGATCGTTTTTGAATAAAGAGTGTATTGCCTAATTTTATACCAAAATCGTAAACAGTATTTAATGAAAAGGTAGTTATTTCACTCACGTGGAATTGTGTGGAATGTGACGGTGATGGTTAAAAGCGAGTACTGTAGCAGTTTGACCGGTCGGTATTTTGTCCACAAATTTCTGGGTTACTACCAGTTATATCGTATATTTTAACTAACTAAGGTTCAAGCTTCATCAAAATCGGGTCAGTAGTTTTTGAAATACAGTTCCCGAGGGTTCATGTATAATATACCAAGGTAAATTTCCTTTTCTGTAGATATGTGCTAAAATTTCCTAAATTACGGCCTACTCACTATTCTGTAGGATTCTAATGCGGAAAGAATTTTTCTATTCGATTTAGTAGCCTATTCAGGGCAAATGAAAACTATCCTCTTATATCCTATAACAATAGCGTTCTTTTAATAATTCTTTAATAATTAACCATATAGACCTGTTGACTTATTGGAGACTGTAAACGCTTTATAACAAATTGTGCCATTCATATTAAGAAATAATTTACTATTGTCACCGCAGCGGTCATTAGGAATAATTACTGTACCAGATATTGGTCAGTAAATTATCTAACTCATTACAAAATACGCAACGTTATCACATTAGATAATTATGCTTAAGTAATTTTATTTGTATTCCTAACTCTGAAAATCAAGAATGTAGGTTTCTGTTTTATATATAAATTTTGAACGGTTATAATTTTTTGTTTATGCAATAACTCTATAAATCGCTCAGGGCCGTTGGATGTAACAAAACAATGCTCACTGAATACGCTTGGACTTCTTTTTTATACGGCTGTTACTATGGAAAGGTAAACATAAAGATAACGTTTTATTGGTAAACTTGACGTAAACTTTACATATTCAGTAGACAACACATTACACAGCCGAACCAATTCCGTCTCCACCATAAGAGCACACGGGGCCCGTGCCCAAGGCCCCCATTCTCAGGGGGCCCTGAAGGACCGACAATTTCTCTCCCACATTTATTCTCAAAACATTTTTGTCGGGCACATTACACTTTTTTCACAAATCAGTAATCAAAAAGTTATCAGAAGGCATATACTACGCCATTATATCGATAACTGCGCCTATTCCTACTGTACTAAATAATAAGGATATAATAGAAGACTCAACACACATCTCGAAAGAAACCGTTATCGCAGTATTCTAATATCATTAATGACATAATATATCATACTGTATTTGATGACCTAAATGGTCACACTTAGTAATTTTTTATTATTATAATTAGCTTTTCACTTTCCAAAAGGGCCCCAAATTCTTGTGAGCCCAATGGCCCCAGCCTAGTTTAAGACGGCCCTGAGCCCAACTAGTATCTAATGTTAGCCTAGCATTGTGTTACATTCATTTCTTTTGTCAACAGCTTCAAAATGCCGTCGCTCTTAGAAGCACTCGAGCGGAAGTATGGTGCTAAGGGAGAGGTGAACCCTTCCATTGACGACTTGCCTGTAGCTATTTTTGTGCCTAAACGATCTCCTAGACTGAGTGTGCCTACACTTCTAGTACTCAACGATTGTGATATAGATTGCGCTGGAGAGGCAACCGTATTGGCAGATAAGTGCGCTGATGTTGTGGAGCTTGATCTCGCTAACAATAAGCTCACGGACTGGGAAGAGGTATGCCTTGAGTTTGAAATACTTTCCATAAGTTCAGTGATCTTAATTGTTTCGAATTGTTGTTATTGAGAGTACAATAGAGGTTATAAATTTTTAGCATTGGTACGTTTAAATGATTCACAAATCTCATTGTTATGTCAAATACTTTGAATTGTTCAATGATTTTAGGTATTTGCGATTCTTGAGCAAGCTCCCCGAGTGAGGTTCCTAAACTTAAGCTTCAATCGGCTGTCGGCTCAAATTCAAGCGGCCCAGGCTCTTCATCCACGTTGGGATAGTCTGAGCAATCTCGTCTTGAACTCTACTTATGTTGGATGGCCCAGTATACATGGTCTGTTGAAATCTCTACCGACTCTTGAAGAGCTGCACTTGAGCCTCAATGAGTATTCGTACGTGGACCTTACTGGGAAGGAGGTAAATGAAAAGGACCGGTGCGAGGAATGTTCGCGCTTGAGATGTGATCAGACTCAACCAGTTCATCAACAGTTGAAGAAACTCCACTTCTCAGGAAACCCTGTCAGTAGCTGGATAGAAATTTCAAAATTCGGATATGCCTTCCCTAACTTGGAGACGCTTCTAGTTAATGACTGCAATTTAACAACGTTAGCGCCCGATCCCTGTGACAAATGTGACGATAGCAATGGGAATAAGAAAAGTCACGATGGCTTCCCGTAAGTATTTACAAAAAGATTCCAGAGCTACTATATGTAAGTAGAAGTTGTTTCTTTGCGATCAGGTGTGTTGCGGCCGTATCAATTCAAAATTTCATCAACATCACCATGATGGCTGGAAGTTTTCCACAGTTTGTTTCACAAGGCACTTTATTTTGCGAACTAGCGAACTGTTGAATCGACTCTCGGTCTTCCCTGAGAGATATGTCCAACTTATTCAATGTTAGAGTATACTCCTCCCTCAAAGGCCGGCAACGCACCCACAAAAAATGTGTGACCATGGGCTGCGATAACTGCCCTTTTGGGCGTCCCGTTTGGTCGTTTGCCCCCCTATTATATAAAAAAGGTGTGTTAATAAGAATAAAACGACCGCACCCAAAGTTTTAAAACATTAGAAAAATTTATATACATTACCTTTTGTATACATTTTTAATCTTCAATAAATAATAAATGATTTAAACTCTTTAAAACGTTATCTGCGTAAAAACTAGTCAATGTCATTAATGGTTTGATAGCTGTAATGAATTGTCATTGACCCACTAAACTTGTGATTTTATTGAGTAACTTAATTATCGCTTATTTACAGCCGACTTCGTTTCCTGAATCTTAATAACACTGGACTGGCCACGTGGGATGAAGTGGACAGGCTTGCCAAATTTCCAGCGTTAAGAAGTTTGAGAGTGCAGGTGAGTGCCTAACCTTGCTTTATTATTTTCTCTCATTAGGTCTAAGGTCAATTTTGTGCTCCAAATAGAAGACAAGGTGTTGTCTTTACTAGCGTTTATTGTCGAAGTATCAGCAGTGTTGGCCAAGTGGCTTGAGCGTGGATGGACTTTCTTTCTATGTGCGCATAAACATTCGCTCGAACGGTGAAGGAAAACATCGTGAGGAAACCGGCTTGCATTAGAGCCAAAAAGTTGACGACAAGTGTCAGGCACAGAAGGCTGATCACCTACTTGTCTATTAGATTGACAAATGATAATGGAACAAGTACAGAAATCTGAGGCCCAGACCTAAAAAGGTTGTAGCGCCACTGATTTTTTTGTTATTGTCGAAGTATATATAAATAATGTGTTCTAATTTTATATTTAAAAGGTTTGGTATGTAGGCTATCTTGAAGGTCAGAATAATTTCATTAAAATTTAGGTAGTATTTGCACAGATATACACGTTGGTTATGGGCTTATCTTTTTTAAGTATATTAAATTCCAAAAGTGCGTCTTATTTTTTCTTGTCGATAATTGTTATGCATCAGTTGTTGCAAAGCAATCATAGGATTACTTCATCAATAAACCGCGATCAGAACATGTGCCAATCAACATAACCCTTCCGATTCAAAGGTGCAGATTTTATAAAGCTATATCAAACGCGTGAAGACATTTATTTTATTCGTGTAACGCGAGAGCCGGGATCATATGGGTGAAGGTCTTCCTGAATTAGTTCTGGCCTAGTTAGTGTCAGTGTTTGCGTAATCTTGATGGTGTAACCCCGGTGATTTTCGTCATACGACTGCCTTTTTTTAGATATCCCAAACCTTGGCATCTTTACGAATATATCGATAAAGCCTAGTTATTAACCAAATTTCCTCGTAATTTGCCAACCTGCCTATTGACATATATAGGGCATTGTTATGTAACATTGAATGGCATTATTAAGCCATTACATAATTCAAGACATTACAAAGTTGAATTAAAAAATTAATTTTATACGCCCATAATATCGCTTGCCCCGGATACAAAGTCGAAAAAGCAAAGTCTATTTTTTTTGGAAAATAAAAAAGGTAATGCTATTATTACTAGGATACTAAGTTACATATACAGTTACTTGTACATTTCATATACAAATACGTATATATAATATATCGAATGAAAGCTATTTTTAGTCCTTTTTCTCGATTTAAACATTTTAATTTATTAAGTGTAAATAGTTAAATAAGAAGTAAATGTTACAGTAATTTATCTAATTAGACTGAAGGGCAAAAGCGTTTGCGATTGTCTCACTGTTTAAATTTTAATAATTACATATTACGACGGCACATTTTGACGAATGTCCAGAACGGAGGAATGTATTACCACTATTTATTTGTTTTTAACTTTTATTATTATTTAGTAAAATTACAATCTATACTAAAACTATATTTATGGTTGTTGCTTTCTATTTCAGGAAAGTAAAATTAGGTAAAAGAGTATAACTAACATTGTGCACAAAATCATTTCCGTACGACATGTTTTTTTTATACTAAATGATTGCAAAAATTCAGAAAAAATTGCAGTTATCATGCAACACCAAGGAAGTCAAACATGAGAAAACATTAAAACAGCCGTAATAGTGCTTTCCAACTTGGTTCCCGGGGCAAGCGATATTTTGTTTATACTTTAACCTTTAATATAAATAATAGTTCAAAACACGGCAACTCTAACATTTAATAAGCACCTAAATTAATACTTCCGGCTTTTAAACGTAAATTTACCAGGTACATTTGCAAGATAAATGTAAACATCAATAGTAATAAGTGCAATGGGCACTTAGCCGTCATGATTGGCAATCTGCGCTCCTGAATTATATTTCCTGAAGTTATTTTTGTATTATCAAGATTTAACACCGAAGAATTTTTCAGTATTCACATTTAGTATTGTAATTATGGCAATAAATAATTGGTACGGTTATTTTATAATTTTTCATTGTTAATTTAGTTATGCACTTCTTGCACTCTCAGTATTTAGTTTTTTTTTTACTTTACTAGGCTAGAAGAGATCGCTTGTTAGCCGATAAGGCCACCCGTTGCGTCCCTTATAATTAATTATCTGAATTACGACAAAAATGATGTCTTTTCAAAGTCAAAGTCAAAATCATTTATTCATGTAGGTAACACAATGTACACTTATGAACGTCAAAAAATATATATGAAATGCTTCTAATTTTACATTTACTGTCAGTTCTCAAATCAAGGGCGTAGAACGGAAGAGAAGAACTAGCAATAAACTTTTGTACTACACACTCATGCTAGACGCGTAAAAAATATCCTTAAACTTTATCAGGTTTATTGTATGTTTAGGAAATCTATGGATCATACATTTAATTTACTTCTTTTTCAGATATCAGTAATTTGATCAAAAAATATTTAGAAACAAGTTTGAAGCGTAAAGCCCGTCAAAGTATGGTAATTTAATTTGTTATATCTACAGTGAAAGTCAAAATGCGAGCTTGGTCGAGAGCCAAAATAGTTCATGATGCAGTGTTGCCAGTTAAGCGGAACCTTTTTAATAATTTATGTTGGGGACCCATGTGTTCTTTGTTTTGTAAGCAGACATATCGTAGATAACATAGATGTGATTCTATTTATCTATAGCTATAATTAGGATATCAACAATATATAGATAAATAGAACCTTTTTTAAACAGATGTTTAGTCTGCCATATGTAGACACAATTTTGACAGTTTCGGATTTATCCCGCGCTTTTGACATTCATAGACGTCTTCTTGATAACCTCCTTTAGTGATTTTGAAGCCGGTTTAATGATCAATAATCGTCTAATACCTGAGACGAAATAGGTATTTAAAGAGACAAAATACGCAATAAATTAGACATAGACGTAACATTTACAACAAAAACACACACAAAATAACAATAATTAAAGAACAAAAAATTCGTGTGTGCGTGTTAAAAGTGTGTAATGCGTGGGTGCTGTGGCTGTTATTGGCCCTGGCTCAGCATTATGCTGCGGAGCAGAATCTTCCACGGCGCTGGTCATTTTGCGAGTGACCACAGCAGCTAGTTTGCGCCTCAGTCACAAATAAAACAAAAAACTTAGTAGAGAAAAAAAAATAATATTATTAGTAAAAGTTAGTAGTTACTTAAAAATATCCTTATCAAAGTCGTGGATAGAGATATGGAAAAAACCTGGAGGAGACCTTTACCCGTGATGGGGTTCGATCAATATTTCAATTTCAACATTTGTAAAGACTGGAAATAAAAGGGCTTTATTATTATTATTATCCTTAAATTGGTTGTTTACTAAAGCTTTTCAATACACTTGTTCCCATCGCCAGTTACTTTGTTAACACGTCATCTTGCTACCTTTTATGACCTAAGTATTATTATTACTTTGAGATTACGCACGCATAATGCGGTTACTGCATTGCGCAGATAATATAAAAACTAAATTGTGGTAATTGAATGATTTCCTTAAAGAAAGAAGAAGTTACTTCGCTAATATAAGTTATATTAGCGAAGTAACTTCTGGGTCTGCTCCTTTTACTTTTGTATAGACAATAGACATATTGTGACTTAAAAAAAAGCCATTTTTAAGATTTTCGATTTTCAAATAAAATATCTATAGAAATAAATGCATGAGCAAGTACAATTGCTTTGTTTTTGTGTGTCGAAAATTCTAAACGCAACAGTTAGTGGGTTAAAATTAAATAAAAATAAATTTTTAACATTCGATTTTCAAATAAAAATATCTATAAGAAATGCGTCAGCCAGTACAATCTTTTTGTCCTTGTATGACATACATTTTAAACGCAACAGTATGTGTCTTTAAAATAAATAAAATAAAAACAATGATTAAAATTCGATTGTAAAAGTTATATTACAAGTTGAATATGGAAATTTGACCGTTAGATATCACCTTGCTTCAACAAAGTTTATTGAATGATTGCTTTAAACAAGAACTTGTAGTGAATCACGGACCAACGAACGATCGACCTGCGCCCACGCATGTAATGCATCTTCAATGTTTAAGCATAAAACCCTTTAGAAAAGGTGTATACTGTATAGTATTGTGAACAATTGACAAAATAATATAGATATAGACATATTGAGAGATATCTTTCATATTCTAAAATATTTATTGTTATACTAAGTTATTTCCGAACCAATACAACTTAGGGTCCTTCAAGAAAAGAGCGTACCGATTCTCAAAAGGCCGGCAACGCACTTGGGAGCCCTTAATGCAATGTGAGTGTCTAAGGGCGGCCCGTGATACCCCTGTTATATAAAAAAAAACTTTTTGGTTTAATTGCGCAAGTGTATTTAGTTAGTATCTTCAGTTACCACTTTATTACCACTATATTAATATTTATTTTAAATATGCAAACATGTAACTTCGTTCTTTGCATGAGGAATGTCGAATTTGATTATTTTATTTTTAATATGATTCGAACTAATCATGCTTAGATCTACTTTGAAAATTACGAAAGCAGTATCACCGAAACATGCTCAAAAATAATACTTCGATTTATGTTTGTTTCTCATATCACGTTACAAGTCGTACATAAATACTTTTGATTTTTTAAGAAACAATACATGAATGTTAGAATATCTCTAAATCACATAGAAATTTGTTTCATGCCCTTGTAGTTACGGTTCTTGGTTTGTATTTAAAAAAGAAAATCCAAAAGGAGCTAATTTATTTGGTGGGAACTACACTTTTGTTATAGCCATAGGTTCCGGTGACCCAGATCTCCCCACCCTATTACAAGACAGGACCACACGTTTCACATTACGTATTCACCTTTGTCCTACTAACATAGTGGATTAGTCGCATTGCATTATGGCTTGACTATCAATTCGTATATTCCCATTTTAAAGAAAGAAAAATGTCCATACATTTAAGAAACATGTCTAAATTCTCGTTGGTAGTGTGTGTGGAATTGGTATGCAAACCAAAATCAGACTGATATGG